TATGTTTTGCAACCTGCTTTGATTGTAGGTGATGTGCCAGTGGGTGGAAGACTTGAGAAAATGGCTCTGCAGATTCTGGTTTAAATCTTTACCCATTTTCTTTAATTTGATGGAAGTCATTGTGGTTGGAGTTATTGGAGCAGCGCTCATTCTAAAAGTCTTAAAGGTGATTTTCCCTTCCTGTGAGCCCAAGTAAGTAACTTGTGCTTTTTTCTTTTTCTTTTTTTTCCCCTGTGAAGACAAAGCATTACTGGAAAATCTTTCGAGTCAGGAGCAGCCCCATTTTTAGGCAGATGGTGACAACAATTTCATAAGAAGGATGCAGCAAATTATCATTTCAAGTGACCTTTTGATGCATAGGCAAATTTTTCATTAGAAGCATCTTTAGCTTGGCTGTGGTAATACCAAATTTTGATTAGTTCTTCCAAGGACTACGTTTTGAGACACCATAACATACCTCCAACAGAGGAGGGTAGAAGCTAGAGCTAAGCTGTTCCAGCAATTCTGCATCTTTCCGTAGTGCTGCAGTCATTACTGTAATCATGAAAGGCCTCAAATTTGGCTTTGCAAATTAGGATGGGATTTCTTTAAGGAATTATCTATCTAGGCAGCTTGGAAGCCGTAGGGAGTGGTGGCAAAAGGTTAAAAATAAAACTGATTGACTATGGATGGCTTTATTTGCTTGGCTGGTATCTTACCAGGAACACTGGTATAATATTTTTCGGATAAGCAAGTTTTCCAAACAAGTGTGGAAGTATGAAATGGCAACTGCAGCTAAGAAATCAATACAGATTTAGAGATGGAGTAGGAAAGCACGAACGTTTTTAAGGAACCCAAGTTGACTTGGGAAGCCTTAACCCTTGGAACCTAATGGTTTTTTTTAGGAGGAATGACTGACAGCAAATCTTGCTTCCTCACTTGGAGTAAGCACAGCTGATATTCTCAAATACTGCTGACCAGCTGTGTTTCTGAATGGCCCTGAGCCTGGCTAATCTATGCAGGGATAAGAGTTGGCCTTAGTGCTTCTGACAGAGCTAGGAAAATGGAGGGTTGGTAAACTGAGAAGGCTGGAAACTGCAGTTACAGAAGATACCATGCTTCCCCCTGACACTTCACAAAGCCTGCTGTCAGAGTAGAGTACTTCTTGGAACTAGCTCGTTAGAGCAGGAAAAGTGAAGAAACAGTTTGTAACAGCTGCTCTCCAACAAACACAAGGAGCTTAATGCTGTGAAGCTCTGAAATAAGCAGAACTAGGGGGGAAAAAAAATCTTACCACCACAAACTGTTCAGCAAAATGCCTGATGATCTATCCATGGCAGAGGTTGGTACAGAGCAGAGGAACCATATTGCAATAACTTGTCCAACTGGAGAACACAGAGCCTGTGTGTGGCTTCTCAGAGCATTCTGAGGAACTGAAAGGCTGAATAACTTTAAGCTATGTCAAAATTGAGCCTACTCTGCTGATAGTTCAGACATACAGACTGAATTGGTGGCTCTCTGAAACAAGAGCCAGTACTTTTTAAACCAGTTTTTCATAAGATTTTCATTCTACTTTTGAAGAAGATGTATTATTAGGATAATACTTGACGTATTAAATGAAGGTTTAAGGTGCTTTTAAGAATATCTTATTTTTTAGAACACAGGACTGTTTTGAATATTATTTTCTAATGCCAGCTGATTTTACCTTTCAGAGGCATCCTTCTCCTGGATCAAATGAGCTTTGTACCTGTGATTACCATCAGCTTGCCTTCAGATGTTCCAGACAGGAAAAATAATTTAGATGAGAAAATATGTACTTAATATTGTATTTACTTCAGAGTTGCTCTTTTCTGTTGTTGTTGTTTGTTTTTAATGAATTTTTAGTTGACTTGAAATTTGGCACTTGATCTTAATACTTTGTTTCCTACTGAGAAAACTAAGCAAGTTGATTAATTGGTAAAGGGATAGTCAGGATGAGGCCCAAAGCTGACTTCCTTGTACCTCTTCATAAACATGCAGCCTTTTTCAGAAGCTTCAAAATATAACAGCTACCATTGGTTTTAACTTCTGTGAAGTCACTTCTCTGCAGCTCAGACACGATGCTGGCTGCCTTCACACCTACAGATAAACCAGCTCTCCTAAGTAGCCAGCTGATGAAATTCAGGGTGTCCTGAAGTCTCCAAATACCACTTTCCAGAAAAAGACAAAGGAGTACAACAAAAGTTACATGTGCCTGCAAGCCAAAACAGAGCTACCCAACCTGGGTTCAGGTCTCTTAGAGTTGAGTGTGCCTTGCAAGGAAAGTATCACTACCAAACATCTGTATTGCTCAAGTAATTTGACATATATGCAAAACAAAATTTAAAAAGGTAGATTTATATTTCAAGCACTTTATACTTTTATGACCCCCTACTTCTCATAAAAATTGTTAGCACTACGTGTAACTTGGCTTATTCACAAGGTTCTTTTTGTATTTGTGGCAGTGCTCTGTGACGTCTCAAAATCAAGGAAAAAAAAAATCTACAATACTGGCTTACTAAGTAGGCCCAGTCTTCCCATGCTGATTTGTACTGTTCATGTTTTTCAAATAAACATTTAAATTGTTTATTAGACTGTGTTGAAGCATATATTTATTTTGCTACATAAACTAGCAGCTTCCTTCAGCAACCCTGCGTAAGACTCCACACCAGACCCTGCAGTTTTGTTGCTCCAGGGCCTCAATGTCTTTCCTGTAGTAAGGGGCCCAAAACTGAACACCGTACTGGAGGTGCAGCCTCAGCAGTGCCAAGTACTAGTGTAAGGCTGAAATTTAATGAAGAAAAAATGGGGGAGGGGGCAGACAACATACAAGAGTTTTACCTTACTGCACAAGTATGTTATGAATTGCAATGCAGATGGAAATTGAGCAGCTGTTAGTATGTGCTCTTTGCATCCCTACTTATGAAACTATAAACCAAGCACCTGCACCGCAACAAGAAAGTTTAACTCTGTGCTAAACAGCTGCAGCATAAATGAGTGGTTGAACCTGAAAGCACTGGTACTGCTTCACAAATTGGCCTATTTCCATAAGCCAAATAATCCTCTTATTTCCGTACTGTGTCTATAAAGTTACAAAGCACAAGGAAAGAAATACTTGTTTTAAATTGACAGTAAGTGGGAAAAGTAGTGTCAGTCTTGAACAGAAACACAGTAGTTACCAAACAACGTTGCAGTGCTACCGAGCTATCAAGTCTTAAAAACTTTTAGCAGAGGATTTCTGTTTCAGCACATGCAAGGTTTTCCTGATTCAAGAAAGATTCTTTTCAGAGGAGGGCTAAGTTGAGCTGGGACAAACCTCAAATAGACAAACCATTTTGTAAACAGTTATAAAGACTCCTTGCCACAGATAACAAGGGAAACTGTCCTCCATGCCAGTTGCATCTGCTCTCATTTTCTACACATGACTTGAAAAGGATACGTGTGCAATCTGAAAGAAAAAAAAAAACAATAAAGATAAGTCACTTTGTAAGACTAGGAAAGGCACATCCCCCTCCTGTTCTTATAAACTGTGGCTCTCACCACAGCTGTCATGTTCTCAGCCTCTGAATGCATCTGTACCTTTAAACACGTTGAGCTGAGCATAAGTTTTTCCTTTTCTCCATCCAAGAACTCCACTGGATAGGGGAAGGCATCACGTTCTGCTTTCCAAAACAAAATTAACTTCTGAATTATGAAATCAGCATCTATTACTTTTTTCCATGTGCCATATATTACATAGGTGTTCATTTTGTTAATGTAGAGTGAACAGCACTGGCTGAGCTAGAAAAACTAAGCTGCTTTTTAAACAGTTTACTTTAGAAGTTCCCAAAATATATTACAGTTTAATTAATTGTTACATTTCAGTTTAAGTGGCCCTTTACAGGAATGCTTCCAAGGATTGAAGCTTAAAAATTCCCCTTTTAACTCAGATAAGACTGAGCAGTTTGGTTTGTTTGCAGTGAACTGATTTCCAAGAAGAAATCTCTTCCTACAACACAACTGACAGCTACATCTTCATTCTCACATATAAACAGGAATAAGTATTAAGAGAACCTACTCCAAAACACTACAGCTTTTTCTGCATTCTTACCTGAATTTTCTTCCCTTCATTTTTGGGTTCATCACACTGCATTCACCATGGAATTCAGAAACTGCTCTTAAGACCTGCATCTCAGTGTCTTACTGTAATACCTGACCGCTGACACTGCTCAAAGTGCCTTTTAAGAAAAAAAAAAGTAAATTGTGTCTGTCACTCATGACATAGGGATGAATTAAGTATATTAACAAGATGTTCATGATAACGGCATTTATAGGATGGTGTACTTGGGACTCATTTGCCTTCCACAAAAATCACCACTTTTCATTATCACATGTCCTTTCATCTCCCTTGCAGCATGTCAGGAAGCATCAGAAGTTCCACAGCTGGCTTTGTATGGTGGGCACGCAGAAGCTGAAATGAGCCTAGACATAATGGACTCATGGGACAGCATGAAGTTCAGCTGCAAGCAGAACTGCAGCCATCTGCTCTGAGATGAGCTGGAAGAAAGAAGTGTTTCCAAAATAACAGACATTTTAAAGGAGATGGACAGGAACAATGGTCACTACTGAGCAAAATCTAACGTTAAATTATATCCTAAATGGTCATGGTAGAACCATTCTCAGAGATCTGTTTCTACAGTCCACTTGGCAACTACTGCAAAAAGAGAACACTCTCAAGAAGAGGTTCAGATTTTAAAATTGTAAAACCAACATTATAAGCAGAAGTCATCTGAGTACAAAGATATCAGGACTTTTCTGGCTTATCAGAACAGCGTTAGCAGAATGAATGTGTAGTGAATGCACCAGTTTTTAAGGTCATGGTACTGTACAGTGAAGGAAGGAAAACATTTCAAAAATAACACCAAGAAGAAAACCTTGAAGATCAAAGCAGAGCCCATCAGTGGCTTTCACATTTGAGAAAAAACAGGTAACTTTTGAGCAAGTCCAAAGAACGCTAGAGAGAATTTGCATTTTAAAAAAGTATTTATTTAGATATCTGTTGCTCTTAAATTACAAAAGTTAAAAAGAGCATGCAGTGCACTGACACACTGATTACTTCTGAAGCTGTTTTCAGATGTAAGACGGCTTCAAGATAAGACAACTCAGCATGATCCAAATTCAACTATCCATTTCTCGTATTTCTCAATGTCCGCAGCAGATACAGACTTAGAAACTTTCTTTAAAGCTATTTCAAAGTCTTCCATCGTTGTTGGCATGTGCATTTCATCTCGAGAAAGATTTCTTATCTCTTCTGGTGTCAAGCCTTCAATGCGCCTTCTCATAGCCATCAGCGATGCATCTCTATTACGTACACGTTGCGGGGAGGGAAAAGAAAGAAAAGAAGAAAGTAGTTATTCAGTAAAGGATGATGAGTTTACTTGCTCAAACATTCCAGTTAAGCTGTTGCGTTCAAAAAAAGATATAAATAATTATAAACTTTTCTAGGAAGCTCTCTTATTGCCTGGACAGCCTGCAATACTATGCCGTCTGTATTTTTCAAACACTGATTTATTGCTGGATCTTCCAATAGCTGTTATACTAAATACGCAGGTGAAAGAATGCTTTACTTCTACCGTGTACAGAAGAGATGGGAAGTTTTGAATGTTTCCTGGTCCAAATAGGTCTGCTTCTAACAAAGAGGTCTATGATATCTGACTCCAGCCTATACTTTCAAAACAAAACGTTAATCTACAAAACCTGTTCAGCCTTTGGCTCCTCTAACTTCTGGCCTCAATAAGCATTAAGTGCATTGTTTTTGTACTGCGTTGACCGCATGTGAATTTCCAACACTAACACAAGAAGTAGCAGATGATGAGCAGAATGCTTTCACAAATGGATAATGCTGAAAGACTACAGTTCTTGCTAATTCCTTGTTAATAAAGCTTATTTTAAAAAGTAAACACTGTTAATTTTGTCCAGCAGTCAAAAAAGAAGGAAGGGTAATTCAGGTGATATCACAACAGAGTCATGTCATAGTAGTAGGTCAGGATCCAGGAAAAAAAAAAAAAAAATCTTATTGGGCATTTTAGAAGGATTTTGAAAGATGGTAACAGCATTTCCATTTCAATTTTGTCCCCCCAAAGGAAACCATAACCGACAGACTTCTGCATTCTAACTGTGAAGAACTATTTATCAAGTTCATGAATACAATAACTAGAACCTTAGAGCAGCAGCAGCAGCAGCAACAAAGAGCTGCCTTGTTAAATTCCATCTTAGTTAAATGTCACCATGCTTTGCTGCTACGTCATCATTTGTGAACTACAAGCCAGCCTTACACAATCTGGAAAGGAGAAGGGGGGAGTACACTGTGCATCTGATTTACCTCCAGTGCAGCTGCCAAGACTTTCTCACATAAAGTCATTTTTCTGACAGTCATTCTAACTCCAATTCTTAGCACTTTCTCAAACACACTCTTAGTAGTTGGAGAAGCACCAAAGCTATCCTCAAAAAAATAAGGAACAGAATCACAGAATCACAGAATCACAGAATCACAGAATCACAGAATCACCCGGGTTGGAAGGGACCTCAAGGATCATGTAGTTCCAACTCCCCTGCCTAGCAGGGCCACCAAACATACACATTCAGATCAGGTTGCCCAGGACCCCGTCCAACCTGGCCTTAAACACGTCCAAGGACGGGGCATCCACAACCTCCCTGGGCAGCCCGTTCCAGGGCCTAACCACTCTCCTAGTAAAGAACTTCCCCCTAACATCCAACCTAAATCTTCCCTCCTTCAACTTGGATCCATTTCCCCTAGTCCTGCTGTTATCAGCCCTTTTGAAGAGTTTACTCCCCTCCTGGGTGTAGGTTCCCTTCAGGCATTGATAGGCTGCAATGAGGTCACCCCGCAGCCTTCTCTTCTCCAGGCTGAACAAGCCCAACTCCCTCAGCCTGTCCTCATAGGGGAGGTGCTCCAGCCCCCTGATCATCTTAGTCGCCCTCCTCTGGACCCTTTCCAAAATCTCAATGTCTTTCTTGTACTGAACCACCCACCAGAATACACAGTGAGAATCTGTTCCATTTCAAATGCCTTTCAAGCTTCACTTTGCTCAACAAAACAATTGCAATTCAGTTCCAGCTGATACCCAATACACAATTTAGATGCAATTTTACATTTCCTGAATATATTTGCTGTTTTTCTCTCTCTTTTTTTTTTTTTTTTTTTTTTTTTTTTTTTAAATGAAGTTCTATCTTAACTCTGTGCTGACTGTTAGGAACTGCCCTGTATAACTCTGACTACTTTCCACTCTGGCTCAGCGAACACTGGATTTTACTTCAAGTTGTTTAAGGTCGCAGAACAATTTGAGCAAGCCAGAGTCCTTGGCTCACTTTTCTCCTGTTTGGCTTACGTCATTAGCAAGGATTTATATTTCAGAAGTTTGAACTTTACCTGTGTTTGTATACTGCTTCTGAACAATATAAAAGCCCAGTCAAATCAGCCATATGTCTTCTGTCTCAATGTAAATGAAGCAACCACGTCTAAAAATCCTTTTTCCCTGATGCCAACAACAAAGTGTAAATACACAGACTAATCTGAGTACTTCCTTATTAATTTCAAATCATGCACATCCAGACTCCAGCTTATCTGGATTTCTAGTTGCTATCACCTCAGTCACTCTAAGGAGATCACCACAAATGACAGACCTGGACACTTCTGTATTTGTTTTCCTGTACTATTTGTCTATACGAACTTTGATTAAAACTAAAAGCAACAGTATAATTAGAAGTCACAAATATGGTAATGATTCTGAACAACTGTATTAGTATTCAGTGCAGTATGAATTACAAATAACAAACGCTGTATCTAGAAAAGCAAGCAGTCAGGTAACAGAAAAAACAAAGTGCAGCTAAACCACTCAAAGTAATAGGCTAAACAGAGTCTTGTGTTACACACAAACCTCTATTAGCACAAACACAAACTTTCAAAGTACAACCAATGCCAAAACCCAGCAGAACATCACCACAAATTCAACTCTCAGATGCACACATGAAGCAAATCTGTACCATACTCATTCAGAGCACCGACTGCATTGTTTTCCCAAATGTTGTGCAAGGATTTTTCTGGAAATAATACCACGCCTCCAAACTCTTCAGTAACCCTCCTGAGAGAGCCTTTGGTGTCAGCTTTGCCTACAGGCCACATAGATCCCTACAGCACGACATACTGTCCTCTCATTTGCACTGACAAACACTTGCAGAGCTGTCTGTATTAAGAAGTGGATCTGTTTTTGAGGAGAGTGATGAGACATTTTTAACCTGGAACAGTTAGTTCTCTTAGCCTGCTCAAAGCACAGCCCCACAACAGTTGTGCTGACACACAACTGGAGGTCCAGGCTTTCAATGCCACTCCTTAGTGCTACCTCCAAATCCTGAAAGCATAGTTATACAGGTGCTTACGAGATGACAAAAGCATCCGGACAAGTTTCAGTTCTTTGTTGCTTGCTGCTGGTTCTGTAGTTTGTCATCTCTGCATGAAGGGGAAAGGGATAATTGGGGGAAGGCTTAGCAAGTATTTAAATAAGAATGCTAACAGGATTCTTGGTTGCATTAGGCAAAGTATTGTCAGCAGGTCAAGAGAAATGACCCTTCCCCTCTTCTCAGCACTGGTGAGGGCAAACCTGAACTGCTATGTCCAGTTCTGGGCTGCTCAGTTTCTATTATCTGTTACTTCTCCAACAGAATATCCATTTTTATGACCTCAGTGGAACGACTGTAAGCCTGCAGGGTTGAAGTCTATCATCCTGTGGACATTCCCCACACAAGGAATTTTGCATACATAAAAGAACGTAGAGTTTACCTAAATCATACTATGTTGCAACTGCTCTTCATTATTATCTTATGAAAATACCAAACATACACAAAGATTAATGTAGCATTTCATCTTTTAGCTGTATGTAGAAGACAAGTTACAATCTGCTCTTATCCAACAACTTAAAGTAAATTAGTTTCGTTACTTTAAAAACAGCTTTCTCAGTTTGTAGCAGTGGTAACACAGATGATGTAATGTTAACATACCTGCATACGTTGGTAATGTCTGCACCTGAATAACCCTCCATTTTCTCAGCTATATTTGCAAGGTCAACATCATCAGCCAGTTCCAGCTCCCGCAGATTTATTCTTAGGAGTTCCTCTCTACCTTTTGCTAATTAAAGAACAGAAATCAAGGCTATACAATCTGGTTTCTGAATACAAATAGTAAATTGGAGAGAGCTGAGGAGGAAGGATGACCAAAGGATTCTGCACTTGCTATAAAAGTAACAATATTCAATGCTTAGATTTAACCCGATTCTGAATTCGTAAATAAATTTGCATAGATGTATCAACAAGATTATTTATTTAAACAAGTGATCAAAACAAAAGAAAGATTGACACAGCTTTGAGTTCAGCCTTTTCAGCCCCTCCTCTCCTCAAATCTTTATACCTGATGGTAAAGGAATGTAAATTCTCTTTTCTAGTCTCCTTCTTAGGGCTTCATCAATATCCCATGGAAAATTAGTAGCTGCAAGTACCATGACCATTTTAGAAGGATCATCATTTTCAGTGGCTCCTCCAACACCTGCATTGGAGAAAAAGGAGAAGTAAAATGTACATATGCTTATATTAAGTTTGACACATAGAGAAAATAATATCCATGATTCTATAATATTAAAGCAGCAAACCAAGTGTAACAGAAATGATACAGTGCAATAAAATTCCAGTTCTTATCTGTCAAGAAAAAATGGAGACGCAGTTTAGTTAGAAGCAATGACTTTGGCTGTATGGGGTCAGGAAGTTCCTCTCTACTACATCTAGAACACTTCTAAGGTAATTACTCCCATTTCCCATTACACCATTTGGAATCTTCACACCAATGTCATGCAATAGCTGCAGGGAAAGGGAGCAGCCATGAAAACAAACCAGCTAAGCACCACAGTCACCTCTCCTCAACAGTATTCACTAACAGCCATGCTAAACCAGCATTAATCCCCTACAAAAGCTTCCTTACTTCTGAAGTCAGGCCAAATGTTTTACATACTTGGTTGGATTCTTTCAAACTGCTGCTGAAGTGAATGTTCAAATCTGTTGAACTAAACCACAATTTCTTTGAGACAGAGAAATCACTTAAATCTCCAAAGCACTATGAAACTCCTGCTAAGTTAAGAAGTTTTATTTCTTAATATATATTATTGTAGATTATATTTTATATTTATAATAAATGTATTTATCATATACATAAATAAATATCATAAATAAATAATTAAATAAACAATATTTATTATGCATTTTATTACATATATTTAAATAATTTCTTAAAATTATTTAAATTAGCTAGGCTCTGGATTACTGTTCTGATTTGTGCTGTGGAACAGCCATGGTACCGAGTACGGCTGAAAATTTGCATATATAAAAACATTTATGAACAAAAAAAAAGAACTTCAAGTAATTCTAAACAACAAAACTATGCTTGAATTATGAGAACAAGCTTGGCTGCTAGTTCAACTCAGACCTAAAAGGGCATCAACATCAGAGAGACAGAATACACAAGTCTCCTGACCTTCAGGATTTATCACAAATTACTGCATATGCTCACACTTTCCAGTTGCTCCTTTCTTTTCCCTTCTTGCCAAAAGAGCATAAGGGTGCTTCTAATATTGCAGCTGTGTAAGTTTTATTTATTTGCTGCCTACTAAGCAAATAACTATAATGAAATAGTGTTTTAAGAAGCTAATTCTCCAGACCCTTTCTACAAAACAATTTTTTTCATTTTTCTTTAGGAGGGGAAGAAAAAAAAAAAAAAAGGAGATCCCAAAGAGGTGTAATGATTGTATTTGTTGAAGTTTAAATTGAAACAGGTGACAGTTACTTTGAACCACTCCTCCAAAACCAAGTAAAAAGCAGATAATATTCCAGGTAACCACTCAAATGCCATCCTGGCTGCTACATTTATATTTGAGGAAGACGCTTTCTTCCCTCTGCAGCCTTGAAATCTTGCATTCTCTACTGAATCTTTTTTATTGTAGATTAATATCTGAAGTCCTTGCTCAGATGATAAAAGATAGTTTCATAACAGGTTGTTATTTTCTTTCTTCCATACTGGCAGTTGGAATGGTGTATTGGTATATTTTTACTCCAATTGAATGTAAGCCCTTCAAATAAACTGCTTCTGAAGAAAGAAGTTTGGATTTATTTATTTTCCTCCATCAAGCTTCCTCCAGCCCCGAGGGATTAGGTTATTTACCATCCATTTGAACTAGCAGTTCTGCTTTCACGCGTCGGCTAGCCTCATGCTCTTCTGAAGTTCCCCGTCGACTACAGATAGAGTCTATTTCATCAATAAATATGGTTGTCGGGGCATAAAATCGAGCCTAAAGGAAACAAAAGATAAATGAGAAAGTGAAATGGCAGCCTACTCACATTTAAGAAACAACAGCACAGTCAGACCAGAGTAATGAAACATACATCCCAATGAATCAGCTCCTAAGCATCAAACTACACCCAACCATCTGCCTCTGACCACTGCACACACTCATGAAGTCTATCCATTAATGACATCTGAGCAGAGTAGATTTTGGTAGACACAACAACCAAGGCTAGAACAAACATTTAGTAACGTTAAATTTTCACACGTTAGGAATATAATTTCTAATTTTGTGAAAGATCTCACAGAATGCTTGAATAAGAACCTGGATAAAGTTAGGCGTACCATTAGTCCTAAGACACCATGACATGGAATCTGTCCAAAAGCCAGATCAACTACAAGATAACTTCACCTTTCTGACAATGAAAGAAGTTAAACAAGGGTTTCTGATAGTAAAGTCACTGTCCTACAGCAGTTAAACTATATTCCCTTGTGCACACTCATTTCTGATTGATGGTCATTATATTAATATCAATATTAATATCAATATTAACTTATTTAATATGGTCACACTGTATTTTAAAATCTTCTCTTTCCTGACTACTGTAATTGCAGCTCTGCTGCCCCTTTCAGTACTGGGGACCCTGGCTAACACTGCATGCAAACCTGGTAGCACAGAAAACAGTACATGTTCTGTGCTGTTTTCAAGTGTTTGAGCTCCGAAGCCAACTACATACTTCATACAGTCTGAAAGCCTACTTATTTTAAAGTACAACAACAACAACAAAAAGCCACACGCAACAAAACATGTACAGCCTAAGTAGGGTTCCCACCCAGAAAGCAATTATATTCAATTTCCAGATTTACCTTCAGGTTTGTTCTATAGTATCATCAGCTCATAGATAGATAGCTACTTTCTACCATAACAAGTTAACCCTGAAAATAAAATGATCCACTTTTTTCAGTTAAGAAGTTGTACACTAACAACTAGATTCTCAGTGTACATAGCCAATTCAGAAGGTTCCAAAGCATCTGAAGTTTGGAGAGCTCTTTTATTTTTCCCACTTATGCTATAAATTCTAAAACTTGCCACGGTTTTACTATTCCAGAAGTAATTCTGCTTCATCATTTCACTACTTATGCTAAGAAATTTCAATCACCATTTCAAAGAGTAAACGAACAAGTTTCTCAGATTCTCCCCTGTATTTTGAGGTAAGTGTGGAAGAAGAAACATTGAAAAAAGTAGTCTTGCATTCAGTTGCTACAGCTTTTGCCAGAAGGGTCTTTCCAGTACCAGGAGGACCAACCATCAACACACCCTATTAAAATAAGAAAAGAACTACAGTTAGGACAAGAATCTAAACAGACAACTTCACAATTTGATTAACAGTACAATAGGAATGCCAGATGTAAACTTTCTGTTGAGAAGTTACTCAAAGGTAAGTAATTATTATTGCTTACTCGCAACGAAATAGCTGAAGATAGTAATTATCTGACACCATTATTTTGTTAGTATTATTTGCCGTAATTTTATTATTAAAAAGTGGAAAGAATTTATATAAACTGTAAGACACCTGTAATTGCTTGTTGCTCCAAGATCCAATCCCAGAATCCTACTTATGATCACAGGATCAGATTTTTTCATACCTTCCATGGTCTTCTAATTCCCTTAAAAAACTCCGGCATCCACATTGGTAAAACTACAGCTTCCTTGAGCAGTTTTTTAGCTTCTACTAAATCAGCAATGTCATCCCTGACAAGAAAGAGAAAGTTGTTTCACAGATTCAGACAGGCTGAAAAGAATCAGTCCACAGCTCAAATTGATGTGCAACGGAACTCATCAGTATTTCCCTGAATTATGGAAGAACCATTATATAATGATCTAATGAAGTTCTAGTGGCAAAATCCTATGACTACTGCAAAGAACAGTTGACAGACTCCAGCTGGTTGCAAAAACAAAAAACAGACATCACTATTTTAGTAAAACATCACTGTTCTTATTCACAGAAAGAATAGGCAGAATAAGGCATTTTGGGTAAACTTATGTAAGCCAAATTATGCTTTCCTCTTTTGTTGACAGGTTGGCTGATTCTGAAGCTTAAATATAATCTTCTATCAACAAGAAAACCAGCTAGTAAAGGCTAGTAAACAGACATCAATAAAAACGTTGAATTCTTTTTTGAAGTTACAAGAGTATTAATTCTTAAAAATCTTACAGGCTAACCTTTTTTTCTTGAGGATAACTCTAAGGGCAAACCACTCATCACCATATGTCCAAGTAACATTTTGGTTACAAAACACACACAGGTAGAAAAGTAGTTTCAAATATGAAGTTGTAATTTAAGATTCAGTGTACGAATAGTATGATTTATTCACATACTGAACTGAAGTATATGTCAGTTGTCCTATGCATACACAGTTCTTAGGGTTTGTGGGAGTGTTTTTTAAAGCCTACTTTATTTGCCAGATTTTTGCTCACTTAATCCCCACAAAATCACCTAAGCTTGGAAACATTCAGAACACAAAACCACCTTTGTATAAGGTTTAATATTTAACACGTTTATGTAAAGGTGTTGACACGTGGTTACATTTTATACTGGCAGTCACATCACATCCAGTGAGACCTGAAAGGGTTCCCATATTGACATAATTTCATTGTAAATTGGTTATCTTTCTCGGTATGCCCCGGGTAGTAAAACAGGTGGTTTAAAATGATGAGGCACTGGCAGACAACAGAATCTTTTACACTGCAAAATATTATCCCTGCATTGGTTTCAAGACTCTTAGAAGAGATTGAGAAGCTTTGCATGGGTGACTAAAAAGTTCTAAAAATATTCAACTACCCAAGAGGCTTAGCTGACTACTTAATGAGCAAGGAAAGCTTGCATGTACTTTTTATATGTAAACAATTAAGCATTTAGCTTATTCTGTCATATCATAGAGAGGGAAAAGAAACAACAATTAATTAAGATCTAGCAGCAGTACCCAAACTTACCATCGAATGTTGGGATTTTGAGAAATTATATCTCTTTCCAAAGCTTCTACTAAATCTTTATCGTATCCAGTACTATCAAATTTCTTTGGTTCAGACTCTGAAATTTCAGATGTGGATTTGTTCTACATAAAAGGAAGATAGCAGTGTAAATACATAACAAATGTTATAAAAATCCATTAGTAGCATAACCAAATCCGTAAGTTTTTCAGAGGTGACATAAAACAGCACAGAAGATGTGGGGTGTCCATATCACTGTTACACTGTACTATCTGTTTGGATTACCCACAGTTCTGGACCACCCTAGTTCAACTTCCTTCTCCCCAAAGGCAACACACCACACTGATGCAGTTTCTTTGCTTCAGTAAGTTAAACATTCCAACAGCCAACGCTGACAAAACAGGGAAAAAAAATAGAAACAAAGCAAAGAAAGTCCCACACCATCCTGCCTCAGCACGTATATTTTCTTCTGAATGAGAATCATCATTCAGAGAATGCGATATAACTCCTACTAACTAAAATCAGGGAACTTCAGAGGCAAATATTCCCACCCTGGTAGTTTATACTGTTTTCTTGGGTCACTACGTAAGGTTGTCGGGACTACAAGAGACTCTAGTATATGGCTATTTGATTTATTCAGACTGAAAAACAATGTATTTATTGTCAGTAAGATTACTCTGTTCATCAGCTAGATTTATGGAAATCAGACCATCAGCAAAAACTCACGCAATCGAATCAAAAAGAATGGATCCTGGCTCCTTCTCTTTCATGAAATATGTCAGATTTGTTTGCTTTAAAATGAGAAGAGTCTGGAGCTAGTAACAGACCTCAACATACAATAAGCAAAAAACTCCACCTCTAAGATTAAATAAGTTCTGCAATGCTTTTCAACAGGGTTGTCAATTTCAGCATTAAATATACACAAGCAATAGAAACTCGCACAGACATTGCACTTGAACAAGCTCCACCAATGTTTTCAGTAATTGAGTGATATAATCTTAAACAATTAACTCCAAATTGCAGTAAACAAGCCCACAGTTAGCAGACCACTTCCTCTAGATGGGTTCATTACTAGGTTTTTGTTTGTTTGAATTAATCTACTTTGCACCTTTTAGTAAGCAAGGTTGTCCCCTAAAGCAAATATACTTTTGAAGGTGAGATCAAAACTGCCATGCTGACATAAACAAAGTAAACAGTTTACAGGCATCTGACCTTATAAAATACTCAAGGAAACAAGAAGGTTCTAAACGCCAAGAAGCCATGTACAAACTTACCTTCTCCTCTTTTCCTTTATTTTGCTGATCCTTCTTTTCCCGGCCGCGCACTGCCTTTCCTTTATCGTTGGGATTTCGAGAAGATGGACGGTGAGGGCCTCTAACAGCTGCACTTATACGATTATTGTGACCTCTGCAGTCACTGTATTGAGCGGACTGACGTTTCCTGGGTCCTGGTGAAGGTCTAATTAGTTGTAACACATGTAAAATGCCTCAGTATAAAGCCACCAGTGAGCATTAAACAACTACATTATTTTGCTCAAGATAAGAATCTGTGTATATTAATTATATTTCACTCACCACAACTAAAGGTACCAACAATATTACAAGTCACCACACCGAACTATGTTGACCAGAATCAACACAAACATTTTTATGTAGTCACTAAAAAATTCACTTTCCTTTTGCCATAATCTCTAAAGCTCTTAAAGCTAGCTCTTTTCATATTTGACAAATGAAAGTAATTCTGGCATTATGGAGCTTAGAAAAACATGAACAAAACCAATATATTTTATCCCTATTACAATTACCCCTCACTTTCCTACCCACATAAACAAAGGTTTCTTGGGAATAACAGCATTATTTTTACATCCTCAAGGGGGGAAAATGGAAAAAAACCAATCTGATCTCTGCCACCACTGTCCATCATTCTATTGCTGGAATAGCTTAGGACAACATAAAAGAGAAGACAACTTGCAATGTTACAAGCAGATATCTTTTTTGCTTTAAAGAGAAACCCAGAGAAACAGACACAAAATGAAATAAAAAGCATTTCTGAATACCAATCAAGATCTCTTATCAAAATTTCCCAAAGGAAAAACACACACTAATTTATCTTTCTCTCTCAAAGAACACTTCTCAGAACCTGCAGCGTACGAAAGAGGAAAATGAATACAGTCTGGATGTTCCTGTTACAATTCAAGGAAACACAATCATTTAGGTTGGATGGGGCTTCTTGAGTCCTAGTCCAACCTCCTTGTCCAACCAGGGTTATCTACAGCAGGTTGCTGAGGGCTGTGTACAGTCAGATTTTGATTCTAACTCTGGAGACTACAGCCTCTCTTGACAACAGTGTTTGTGTCTGTTCCTACAATAAAGGAGCATTTTGTTACGTTCTGGTCGAATTTCGTGCATTTCAATTTATGTCTTGCTTTATGACCTGTCACTGACTAGGTATTACTGAGAGGAGTCTGGCTCCCTATTTTCACTTCCTCTCATCAGTTACTTATACACATTAACAAGACTCCCCTGAGCTTTCTCTTCCCCAGGTAGAAGACTCCCAGCTCCTTTAGCCTCTCCTCATAAGAGGTATGTAACCATCTTGGCTGGTCTGTGCTGGACTTGCTCCATTAACTCCATCTCTCTAGTACTGGGAAAGCCAAAACTAGGCAGAGTGCTCCAGGTATATAGTGACTTGCTTCTAGGTAGGCCTTCTGCCACCGATCACAACCCTCTGAGCTCAGTCGTTCAGCAAGTTTCTAAATCCATTGATCTTGTTCACTTATTTAACTCATATTTTGTCAGCCTGTGATGATGGTGCACAGACAGTATCAAAGGCTCTACTAAAGTTGAGGTAAATGGCATCTACTGCTCAGCCATTATCCACCAAGTTAGTCACCTCATTGTAAAGGGTAATGAGGCTGGTCAAGTATCATTTCCTCTTTGTAAATCCATGCTGACAACTCCTGATCATCTGCTTGTCCTTCACATATTTGGAAATGTCTTCCAAAAGGAATCTCCCTACCGTCTTCCCAAGGATTATTTGCCTATGTCCAAAGCACTCTTCCTTGTTGATTCCTTAACTACCTGTGCTATGAAGTCATCATCTGTGCACCTCCCACATCAGAAACCTCCCACGTTGTTTGAGCCATGCTGTGCTATCCTTCTAGTAGGTGTCAGGTGATACGTATGAGACCTCCTGTTTGAAATTAGACTGCTCGGAGCACATACAATTAAACTGGTATCATAATGGACTTCATTTTTAAATCCAGGTTCTCTTCTAAATCCAGTAAACTCACAGATACACTTTTTCCATGGGCCTTCCTAAAATTCCAGCATGAGTAAGTTACCAGCCAAGTTTAAGTTTGGAGATACCTCTACAAAACAGAAAATGGAAGACTGATTTGGAAAGCATTTATCCAAGTCAGAAGATGAGTTCTGACATTTCATTCAAAATTAATCAGGATAAATTACCTTCATAAAAGTTGAATTTAACTGATTCACAGGAGGAAGTTTGTCAAAACCATACAATCGCTTCAGGGTGAAATGCAAATTAAGGGTCAAGAATATGCTAATGATAACATCATAAGTATTAAAGTCTTTTCACTCTCCAGACTATCAACCAACCTACACTTGTGTTTATGAGTATTTAGCCACCTCTGCATTCCATCACAAAACTCAAAATAAGGGAATAATCTGACACCTTAATTCCATCAAAATTAGTGCGATCTGCTATCTCAGTACAGAAATGTGCAGAAATGATTCCAACACAATGACCAGTTTTCTCTGTGGCTTTTTCAAATTACAACCACCAAACACTCAACCAACTGGCATGGTAAATGGAACAGAAAGAGTTCTTTCCATCAAATCTTTTCTTCTTTAGTAGTATGAATTTGTGTCTTCTCTTGAAAGTTTTAAAACACTAGAAGTTCTGTCCCACAGACTCTAATAGCCTAAAAAGCTTGAATGAAATTGGCTAGGGGTGTTCCAGTTATTAAATAAGATAAACAGAAACAATGTGAACAAAGGACCCATTTCTTTCAGAGAGTAGGCTTAAAATAAATCTGTCAGAAACAGCCTGTAGGCTCAGAGCCTCAAAGAACAGCTTGATGATACAGCTAAGCTGGTTACCTTCTGTCAAAACGCACAGTTACATGCCTGTCTTGCATGCACTCCTGTCCTGTCCTTCATGCTATCACTAGCATTTGTTAGAAACTCCAGCTAACTAGTGCAGAAAGCTAGCCTCAGGCAAAACAAAACAGAACAAGCAAACAAGACATTTTGTTGGTTTGGGTTTTCATTTTGTTTAACAAAAACTATGCAGATGGTGTGTTACATATAAGTCATGTATGCTCTGGAACAAAGTCTTCACAGGAACGGGCTGAAGTCAAAGCACACTTTGCTCTGGTAAGCGTTAATACAAGTTTCTTCTTACCTTCGTTCAGCAGGTACTGGCAAAGACCAGACTTCTGCATCATGAGCCGGTAATTCTTGTTGTGAAGCTTTCAGTGGAGTACTGTCTAGTTTAAAACTCTCTAATGTTTTCATTATATCTTTCACGTGCTTGGCTTCCACACTTATCTCCTGCCAAACCTGATAAATAGAAAAAAAAAAAAAAAAAAAAGAAGAAAAAAAAGGAGGATTAAACAGTGAAAGTCAGTAAGTTTGTAGCAATCTTCTGCTTAAGACTATGTAATGCCTGGATGGATTTCACAAAGTTTCATAAACTACCCGATTCTACTTTACTAAGCCAAGATATTAAAAATGTTCTTCCATTTTTCCCAGCACGTTTAAGGATTAAGGAAAAAAATTTGAATGCAATACCAAAGAGACATTTGACAAACTGTTTAATAAACATTATACATGAAAAGAGAATGCAACTTCATAGAAGGAACATCAATGAAGAATTAATGTCTTGGGACTAAGATAAATTTACATGGAAGCCACAACTCAGTTTCTATTAAGAATGTGTAAGCCCTGCTACTGAAACAGGGATTATGTGAAATATGATTACTGAGAATAGTATTAGCTAGAAAAAAATACTAAAAAACTTTAGCACAACAGGGGCACAGTTCAGCAAGAAGACAGTGCACTACTGGCTCCTCACAGATGTTTCACAGTCTAGTTTGTCAGTGTCAGAGCATAATGAAACCTTAAATATATACATATTACAATACTATAGTTCATCAGAGAATTATATAAGTACTCCTATACTTCTGTCCACCATCAACAAAGCAATTTTTGCTTGTTTAATGCTTTACTCTTAGAATGACCCAGAAATGGATTATTTACCTGTTGCCATTTCTGCTGCAGGTACGCATCTCTGACAGAGCAGAGGTATTTATTTATCTGGTCAAGAACTCCCTGATAGTAGACCATTGCAGAGTCATAGTTTCCCAGTAAGGCATATTCACGGGCCAGCTTTACATTCTCACTGATCATAACAAGGCTCATGTTCAACATGAAGCTGAAAAAGACAGCAAACACTTACATTAAGGAAAAAAATATCCCACAATCCAGGAAGAAAACACATTTTTGCAACCATTTTTATGTTACTGTTACCCTAACAAGCGTATCTAAATACAGAAGTAGGAAATACTTGGTTACTAAAAGGGTTCTAGAATGTATGTTGTCTATACAGAAAGATAATTGTTTCTCTATTGAAAGAAGTGGAACTTCTCATTTCACGCAAGACAGACTCTGTTGAAAAGTATATGCAAAACATGCAGATTTAATATGCATCCTTACAAGCCAGAACTGCAGACACTCCTTCCCTCTTTGCACTACTGTAAGACAATTTGGTATATTACTGTTAGTGCTACAACATCCTCCGTACTATAACCATTCTAGTTAAGAACAACAACAAAAAAACAACCAAAAATCCCAAACCTTTCCTTCAGATGCATTAGGTTCATATTTTTGCCTTATTGTTTCACATATACAAGTTTATCAGAAGGGTATATGCAGACATAGTGGAAAACGCCATTTGTTCCTCATTCCTCCCCCCCCCGGGTTTTTTTTTTTTTAATATATTTTATTTTATTTTACAGTTCTTCAGTTTTATCTAAGGACTCCTTGAATCAAGTCTCCACACTCCATGCTCAGCCTGTCCTTCTATCACCTTCATTTTTGCCCTTAAAGAGAGACTCTTGAAAAACCTTGGGACGGCTAAGGAAAGGAAAAGCCGGAATTGTTTTGTGTGTGGCATCCCACTTGGTTTAACATCTTGTTCAAACCATGCTAATATTCCCACAAGTGCTTTTTCTGTCAGCAAATACTACGGAATGTGACCTCTTTGTAGATTAGCACAACCTGCACTTTTAGATGAGAATAGCACTACAACTATTAACACAAGTACAGCAATAACCAGACTAGAACATCAAGCAAATATAGTAGTAAGTAGACATAGACTCAGTCTTCACAATTCAGCCTTTGTTCACATAGCAGTCCTCCTCTGTTTTACACATCATTTACACATCCCATTCCACTCCTTGCTAAGATACCTGCACCATCTCTATTCTTCCTGTTGCTTACTCACCAAGAATCTCTTCTAGATTTTCTAGAACCAAGCAAAGAAAACATCAAAATAAGCAAATAAACAAGCCCGTGAGAGTCATCTTGCTCTCATTTCAGTACCTTTACCCGATACCAGTAAGGAGCAATTGCAGACAAGCAATTACTGCTAAGCCCTGGGATGAAGCATACTTGATACAGATCAACTATTTAAAGAATGTAAGAAGCACTATATTCACACGTGCAATAAAACGACTTAAGACCAAACATATTTTATGACCAGATCATGGTGAAACTTGGACACATTACCAGAGATTTCAGAAGTCATACCGCACACCAGATAATCCACAGCTAAAATGTGACATCCCCTCTGTAAGGAGGAGCTGCTAAGTACAAATCAAACACTTTAAGGCTTCCTCTCCTCCCTTCTCTTTTCCCCTCCTAAGTAATTTTACGTATGGATAAATAAATGTTGATCCATTCTTGAGCCAACACAACTTTTTCCCTCCTTTCTCCACCTGCCTGCTTCCCCTTGAAGCAGCCAGCTGCTGAGAAAAGTTTCAGCCTTAACAGCAAACCTTGGCAGCAGCGGAATTGGAGAGGGGCCCCACTAGCCCACATGCACACATGTGCAGGGCCATGCAGGAGGGATGGCACCTGCAGGGCTGCGTCTGGAAGCTTGCTACCAGAGCCTGCACCACACAGCTCACTACCCAGAGACTTGCTGAGCCGGCCACAGCCACATCTGCAAACTGGTATGGTTCCTGTGACCAGCAACTACAAAGACTGCCATGTCCCTGTGTGATTAAGCTCTGGAGACACAGCTTGACTTGGGAGTATTGTTGGTTTTTTTAATCTCAGGAGAAAGAGCCTGAAGATATTTGTCAACTGCTGCCTGGATCATCAAGCAGATGTTACTGAAGTTTTACCTGCTATATTTAGGAGCAAGCTTTTCCACCCGTGCTCATCCTACCAGATACACCTGTTTGCCTGTCCTGAGAATTCAAACCCATGACTAACACCTCTAAAATCACAAGTTGAGCAAGATGCTAATAAACATTCTAAAAATCAAGTAACAGCAAGTTACCAGAGCCAAACCAGACTTTCAAACACGGTGAGCAGTACATAAGTGGAAAAAAATAAAATACGAAACATGCTGAATACTGGCAGAGCGATCTGAGCAGAACAGGCAATCCTGCTTAAATATCAGAGATGGGACACAGAACATAATAAAACAACTCTTGTATTGGTTCATGCTGACTCACAAGAAGAGCAGAGTTTGGAGCTGCTCCCAGACACGTGCCTCCTGTGCAGGACAGCTGCTGGCTCAGCCCATGTCTGGACACGCTGCTGTGGCTTGCAGACAGCAGTACCAGAACGGGTCCACTAATGCAAGCCCACAGCTTGTTGCAACTGCAGATGCTGAAGCAGCTTCAAGACAGGCAGGAGACGGAGTTAGAGCACTAATCTGAAAGCTGATTAAGGTCTGCAGCATGAAGCAGGCTGTGGCAGCTCAGAGTACCATAAAAGACTCGTGTGAGAGAGGTGCGAGCACACAAACCCAGAGCTAAGCCAGACCAGAAGATATTCAGGAAAGAATAATAAAAAAAAAACACTCTAATTTGTAACCGCTTAATTTGTAAAGTCTTTATAAATACCTGGCGCTGTCACGTAGCCGGATGTCAGAGCAGCAGGAATGCACTTATCAGCTACAACCTTCCCGTGAATCACCCCCTGTGAAATTATCTACGTTCCAACAGCCACTGGAGGAGCAATAGGCTTGTAAAGCTCACAGCAAACAGGGCAGGACACAATCAGCCTAAGACCTCTGACTTGTACCTTAATTCCATGTGTGTACACACACCATTCTCCCTCTCTGCACTGGCTGTAAACATCCTCAGTTCTCAGGGTTGACACATATCTTGTCACACCTTAACCCATCTCCAGTAACAAAATACATTCATATATTTTATCATTTGCTCTAAGCACCTGAAATATTCCTAGGGTTTGAAGAGTAGAATGGAATCTAACAAAGGTTCAAGGTATTACAGTTCTGAGAATGACATTTTGAATTTGATTTTTGTGCTTTATGTTAAAGATAACAGCTTGATCATCATCAAGAAAACACTGGGGGTATATCATATTTCCAGCAATAACTTTATGAAATTATCAAGAAGTACCCAAAGTTCTTCACAACAGTACACGAGGATTTAGGGAGTTGAACACAAACTCAACAATGTTTCACAAAGAAATCCCCCCATATGCACACAAAGAGGAAAAAAAAAAAAAAGATACTGAGCTGTCAGGAGGGAAGAACAAAGCCGAGCTGTCAGCTGCCATGGGTCCTCCAACCCCTCTGTCTGACCCAGAACAGCACGAGCCACGCAAGGACAGTACTCCCGCAGAACCCTTTGGTCAGACTTCCACACCTGGCTTACACCAGTGCCAGGGTTCTGGCAGAGTGTCCTGTTACTGCAGCCTGCTAGGCAGGCTCTGACACCGAAGCAGCCATGTGAGCCTCAGAAAGTTCCCTCCACAAATACAGGGAGGGGAAACCAGCAGTAAGAGCTCTCGGGAACCAATTTTCACTCTTAACACGGCGTCCCATAGTTGGGCCACGTACCTCTGCCATCCCTTCTGCCCCACTCCACAACGCACACCGTGAGCAACTTCTGGTATCAACAAGTGCTCCTGCTGATTGCTACAGAAACGCGACGCTTACCCACACTGCTTCTCACATGCTGCGTTTAACGGTAGTGAAAGACAGCCATCAGCAACCACAGCTGTAAGCACACTTCATATACACAAAAACTCATCGCGTACAGGAGCCGTACGCAGACGACATCGTGTTTTCAATACTGAGCTTGTCAGAAGACTCTGAACCAACCACGGTACTTGCTCCCGTTTCACGGGGCTGGCGTTCTGAGAGAACCAGAACCACAACACCGAACTTCTCAGCAAGGCTGGAAGGAAAGGGCCTGCTGCAAAATGGATATCTAAAATATAGGCGAAAAAAAAAAAAAGCAGGAGGTGGAGAGAAAGGAGCACAAAGCGAAAGCCGGCTCCTGAGGCAGCCCCGGCCGGGAGCCCTGCGAAACAGGACGACCCCTCGCCACGGCCGTCCAGATGCAGCGCGTAGGCTCTGCCCTGAGCTCCGAGCCCGGCCCGAGCCCTCCGGCCCTGCCCGCAACCCTGGCCACGCGGCGGCAGGTGCCGGGCGGGGCAGCCCTCACCTCGGGGAGGCGGCCCGGCGCCACGGCCGCCAGCGGAGGACGGGGGCGCCCCGCAGCGGGGTGAGTGCCGCGGGTCTCACCCGTACGGCCCGAAGCTCGGCGGCAGCTCCCAGCACCGCCGCTCGTTCCTCCGCCTTCCTTCTCTCCTCCGGCTCGGTAACCCCGCCCCGCTCCGCCCGCCTCCTGCCGCCGCCGCCGGTTTGAAGGCAAATCCGCTGCGTCACTTCCAGGCGGTGCTACTCACAGGTATCACGTGGGCGTCCGAAGAACATCGTTGTTTCAGCTTTACTGCTGGCTGGGTGGAGGCTGCGGGGCTTTAAAAGAAATAAAGGCATTCAAAACATAGAAAATTTTAAAACTGTTACTGCATTGGCCGGGAATCGAACCCGGGCCTCCCGCGTGGCAGGCGAGAATTCTACCACTGAACCACCAATGCCCACATACTGAGTCTTTCCGCACTACCTCAGTTGAACATCGCGAACGCGAGTTTTCAAATGGCGCCGCCTCACCGCAGCCGTTTGAAAGCTCGCGCCGGCCGTTGGGGACCGCAGCTGAGAGGATTTCACAGCACGCGTTTTGCAGGCCTCTCCCCAGTGCTGCTAATCCTAAATAACGTGAAGCCCTATCTGTCCTTCAGTGCTCAAACACACAGCGAGAATTAAACCATTTTTATCGTGTCCTCCCCCCCTCCTTCCCCAGTACATGCAATTAACCACCTATGGCCCAGCTGCCCCCCTTAGGAGTTATTTCAGCTAAAAGTACAGAGTCCCAATTTCTTATTTGATTTCACTGATTTTTAAACTAACTCAGTTTGTTAACTGCCTAGAGAAGAGCATTCCTTCCACACAGTCGCTTTGTGACAACCTAGAGCTCTTCAGATGATCTGTCTCTTTCACCTTTAAGACAAATGTAAGCACTGCGATAGGGTGCATCACTTCAGAGAAGGAATAGCTCCATGATAGAATTTTATACATAAAAAATAGACAACATCTTAATGATCTTGATGGTAGTGGTAGCAGAAGGTAGGGAAAGAGCACCAATGAATTCAGCTCTTGAACATCAAAATGCATACTTCTGAGAACAGGTTACAAACATTTATTTTGTTAATCAGTAAAGCTGCTGTAGTAAGGGGGGGATTCTGGGGAGAGAAAAATCAAAGGAAAACAATAAAACAAACAACTGCATCTGGACGATTACTGTGTACATTTCACATCTGATTAACCAAAACAGAAATCTGGTTTTCAGTTATTGTATTCTTGTACTTCTCACTACCCCAGTAAATGTTATGCTAAAAAAACTGCTTCTGAGAACAGAACGAGTTTTTAAACTCTAAAAGAGTGTAACTGATTACCAGAAGCTGACAGTTATACTGTCCACACATTCTGTAATTCTCTTGCTCTGCAGTAACTTTACAGTAAGTGTGGTGTTGTGTCAGTGCAACCCCGTGCTCACAGCACCCAGGTTGGGACTTGCTGCACTCACAGCTGAGTCAGCAGGGCAAGCAGGGCTCACTCAGTTCTTCAGCTATCTGGTACTGACAGAGGAACAGGAAACCTGGCATCCTGCACACAGGAGAAAAAGAAACTCCAGGATTCCAGCTGTAAAAGATGGTGTAGAAGATGCATGTTCTTTCCACGCAAACGTCAAGGGGACTTAGTGTTTATGGTTCAACCAACATCACACAGCACTACAAAACCCAAATGTACCAGCAGGCGTTTGAATATCACACAGCAGAGTACAAGTATGCAGAAACATGTCAAAAATGGGTGTCCAGGCTGTGACAGAGACAAGCATGGAACACTCAAAGACTGGTCAGTAACTTAGAATGGTCATGAGATAATGCAAGACTTTTAAGTTTACTAACAAAACACATAATAAATAATTTGCTTGAGCAGAACTGTGCAGTGGTCTATGTATTTTAATTGAAGATCCAAAGGAACTGTGACAATCAGAAGGATGTTTATAATACAAAAAAGACATTATATATACACACACATATACACATAGATATATCTATATATGTGCCTATATAGATATATATAAATCAGTAAACTTGAACAGTGCCTTTATCAAGAGCATCTTAAGGCATTCAAACGTTTTACTATCACGTTGACCCAATTTAACATCTTTTTGCTTCGGCTGAACTAAAGCAAACATTATAAGGTCTGATCTGAAATGGCAAAGACATCTGAAACCAATGCCTAACGGTATCTTCGGTGACAGCAGCAACATCTAAGAACCCATCCACTGCACTGCCTATTAGCTAAACAATATTAAATGAGACTAAATTATTCCCACTCACAGCTTTGAGCTTTGCAACAGCAGAAGGCAAGTCAGCCTCAGTGACTTCCTAGCCATATATTCTATAGAGTCTATTACAAACTGAGGATAGAAAAGATACAGCAAGAGGGCCTGCCCTAGGATAGAATGCCACTGAATATCAAATAGTATTTACAATACAGTATACGATTATAGAATATTTTATAAATACAATTTATATGTATACAAGGACACATATGAGAAATCTGTTTTCATGCTTTACAGAGAGAAAAGTAATCTGAACTAAAACTCACAGATTCCACAGCTGCTGGTTAGGAGCCTTTTCTCTACTGCCAGTATAAAGCAATCCCCATGATGTGTAGCCAGTACAATACCCATGTTTTAAGCAGCAGCTACAAAGAATCTCAACAGACTCACAGTGTGTGAAACGTGACGTTTCAAACATGGATAAGGCATAGTATGTTGGAGAGTTGCACCATCATTACATGAGTAACGTTTTCTTTTTAGAGAAGAACACGGACTGAAACACACTGCATTTTTGCAAAGAAACACACAGTGCTTTAGCATACGGACGGCAAAATTCAAACAAGGAATATTACAACTTCTAACAAGGTAACAGAAAATGCTAGAAGCATCTACCAAAGTCTAAAAAATGTGAGCTCTTAGTATGTTTGTTTCAAAACAGTAAAATAATATTTAATATTTCAGTATTTGCATGTCCTTAAAACACTCAATTTCTTTTATTAAAAGCCATCGTTTTTGCTCTTACAGAATTGCGTGCCCTTGCAGGACCCTTCTGGGTTGTTGTTTTTGGTGGTTTTTTTTGTTTTTGTATTTTAAACTCGCTAGCTAGACACCAGTAACAACATTAAATAGGAATATAATAACATAATATAAAGCAAGCAAAGGAGAAATATACTCAGATAAACAAAAGCAATTTTAACAGTCAATTTAATAACGAAGAACTGACATTATTTTCTCTGCAAACTTCACAAATGGTAAGGTAGGTTTCATTAAATTACCTTTAACTAGCAATATATTATACTTTACTCCAAGCAAAGTAGACCAGTTTTACTGGGATACTTACTATGAAAGAGGATAATCTTTAAAAGTTTATTTACATTGAAAACCATCTTTTTTACATAAAATGGAGTAGCTATACACTGCAACCATTTTATAATATTCAAACTAAATGAAATTAATCTTAAAAGCTGTTCTGTTTCAATAGCTGTAGATCAGCTGGACAGAACATGAATTATTTTATTAAGCTACAGCCCATTTTCACTGTAGAAAATATCTACCTGGTTATGAAAAGCAATGTCTTTTTTTCCTTTGTTTGTTGTTGTTTTGGTTTTTTTTAAAGCATCACCTAATTCTAGACACTTCTAAGGAGAAAGGTGAATTAAAAAAAAAACCTCTTGTGACAAAGTCTGTTTATGAAGTTTCCACTCTTTACTCACTGCAATTCACTCCTCCCTCAGTTATGCCAACATAAACCATTTTTTGGACCACACTGGTTCACTTCAATGAACACGCACTACAACAACCGTCCAGATGCTAAAGACCATTTTTCACACCGAGCCAATAATTAGCATTGTAAATGGTTGCACTGGCACAAAAACAGGTATTGAGCACAGAAAGGCAACAAACAGCTGAAAGTGCACAAGAATTTCTTAGACCAGTTTAGTGAGAAAACTGAATTAGTAACTGAAGTTTGCTGCAAGAATAGATACAAGGACAATGCAGAGGCACCAAATAATAACTTAAGAAAGCACTAATACTATAAAGTACATTACTACAATAAATTTGGAATTTTCTATTGGAATTCAATTCCAAGAAGGATGGATTTTAAAAGGAATGAAGTTTACTAAAAATAGTGCATTTTATTTACTGCTCTGTTGAAGTCACAGAATAGAGCAAGATGGAGAGAAATAAAATATAATTCTTTCCGCCTCTCACCTGAAACTCCTGGTGTTCTCTCAGGGAATTTTTTTCACAGGTTTGCCTTGCTTCCTGCCCCTGGCAACCTCAGCAGGCTCATCGCCCTCCTACCATGAGACCAAAGAATCACCTGTTCACCTGCTGTGGGAAGTTGTGAAACAGGAATGCAGAATATGCAGCAGACAGACGCAGGTTACTAGTTCTGTTCTGAACTGGGCTGTGAAAGATGAACCACTGAAAATGTATGAAGGAAAACTAACAGATCAGATTGGGTGCATGACATTTCTCACACACTGTCACTAGGAGGAAACTCATTAAAAGCAAGGGAAACTAGACCCTACAAGAAGTCTCAAAAGCCATAATTTCTGCTCTTTCTCATCATTACTTCAAACATATAATAAAGAAACTATTCTAAAATTTCGCTTTCAAACTAGAAATTCCAACTGAAGTCGTATTTTTTAAAATGCACTTTACAGTTCTGTTGTA